AGCTGCCTTTATCATACAGTACTGGATCATCTTTTAGTCTCTCTTAAAATATTCTAATAACAGTATTGTAATTTTCATAGAAGCTTTTACTTAGATTTGTATAAACATTATAATATTTAATTTACATAAAGTTATGCAAAGTGCTCTATTCACAAACTAAAACAGATTCACCTGTGCCCTTTAAAATATGAATTAAAGATACTCTTTTCATTTTTCTGCAGTGCTAGAGGTCAAACCCAGACCCTCATGCATGCTTGACAAGCACTCTACCATTGAGTTATATTCCCAACCAACACAATGTTTTAAAAAAAACTAACATTTTATTTATCTGTTGCAAGGCATTAAAGATATATAAATCTTAATGCCCCATCAACATATATCATAATAAAAATAATTCTGCAATAGTGAGAAGGAAATTAGATTTATAGACCTGAATTTTAAAATTTAGAGGGCCAGGGAAAAACAAAATTTGATACCAGCAACCTTGTCACATCCTAATATTCCAAAACCCATGAAATTTTCAACCTATTAAATTTTTCCTAATGTTCAAAATTATATAATCATACTGCTTTATCTGACATATGTATAGAATATTTACAGTAAAAGGTAGAAGGAGCCAGGGCATGGTGATGTGAACCTACAATCCCAGCTACTCAGAAGCTGAGGTGAGAAAGTCACCTGAGCCCAGGAGTTCAAGACCAGCTTGTGCAGCATAGCCAGACCCTGCATCCAAAAAAAAAACAAAACCAAATAATAGTGTCCAAACTTTTAGAACATCTCTTTAAAACTGGTATGTATGTGCTAAATATATTCATTAGGTTAATAACTATAAATTTATTATATGTTAGGTTTTAATAACTCCACACTACTAACATTTAGTTTCATATATTCTTTACCAAGAACAAATGAAAAGATGTACTACCATGAAACAACAATCAAAATCTATGAATGTTTTCTAATAATTTAATGTATTTTCTGAGGTATAAAATTTTTGCACAATTTGCTTTGTATAAACCATTATGGGAGACATTAAAAGGAATTCCAAATGTTAAATAATCTTTCAAAACTCAGTGAACCATATATGTGTGGTTCTATTTCTAGATTCTCTGTTTTATTCCAATGATCTACATGTCTTTCCTT